CTCACAAACCCCTTCTCCAACAAGTCTTCTATTTGTTTCTTAAGCTCCACTAACTCTACGGGTGACATCCTATAAGGTGCAATAGAAATAGGTCCTATACCTGGTACTAAGTCTATGGAAAATTCTACTTCTCTTCTAGGTGGTAAGCTAGACATATCATCAGAGAAGACATCCGAAAAGTCACACACAACAGGCAGTTCATTCACCAAAACATTACTCTCAAAATTCAAAGAAGCTAACAACATGTACACTTGGGCATCCTCTTGTAAAGATACCTTAACTTGGTTGGCAGTCAAATAATCCTTACTCACTTTTTCAACAGGCTCACCAAAGACAATAGATTTATCAGCACAATTCAAAAGGACATGATTGGAAGATAACCAGTCCATACCCAGAATAACATCTAGCTGACTTAGAGGCAAACAAATTAAGTCAACCATAAAATCTCTACCATCAATAATCAAAGGACACTTTAAACAGACATTAGAAGTAGACATTGAACCACTAGTTGGTGTCTCTACTATTAATTCAAAAGACAAGGAAGAAATAGGTAATTTTAATTTGGACACACGCATGTGATATAAAAGAGTGAGTCGCACCAGAGTCATATAAAACAATTAGAGGAGTTCCATTAATGAAACACATACCCTGGATTAAGTCTTTGGATTGTGAAGCTTCAGCACCACTCAAGGCAAATACCCTTCCTGTCGCTCGAGGTTTGCTAGCCATACCTGGATACGTAGAAGCTGAATTTATACGAGATCTAGTTTGTCTCCCTCGCTGGGTTCCCCTCGGTCTGAAGCAGAAAGTAGAGGGAAAAGAAGAGAGAGCAGAAGAAAAGAAATCAGAAAATGAGAGGTGTGCCTTTTCAGAGTGGCAGACAGCTCAATTTATAGGCCTCAAACTTCGCCAGAACGACCCGTTCCAATTTCGGAACGGCCCGTTCTGGAGCCCAAAATCATGGGCAAAAATCACACCCAGAACGGCCCGTTCTCAAACCAGAACGGCCCGTTCTCAAACCAGAACGGCCCGTTCT